CATCCACCAGTACCCCCAAGTCCTTCTCCGCAGGGCTGCTCTCAATCCCTTTGTCCCCCAGCCTGTACTGATATTGGGGGTTGCCCCGTCCCAGGTGCAGGACCTTGCACTTCGCTTTGTTGAACCTCATGAGGTTCACACAGGCCCCCCTCTCCAGCTTGTCCAGGTCCCTTTGGAGGACATCTCATCCTGCTGGTGTGTGTCAAATGTACTTGGGCATGTTCTTAATTGTGCCTGCAGTGTAGCCCATTTTTTTTTTTTCTTAATATAACACTGCTGGCATCTCTGAAAAATCAAGTACATGGATATAATTCTAAAATCATATTTACTGCTGTTGAAAGGTGATTATTAGCCCTGCGGTCTTCTGTCTTCTAAACAAGTGTCGTTTAAGCAGCAGAAGCTTCCATGCCCTTTGCTCTTAGATGTGTAGGACCTCAGTCCTACTCTGGTAGAGCATGGTAGGGCAGGAGAGGGGTTTTGTGTCTAGTGCCTAATTCTTCACTCATTTTTCCACCAAACCTGCACAGTGGATATCTGTTCATTGGTGGGTGACTGGTTGTTTTGACGCGGGTTCTTCACTACAAGTTGCAGAGATCTTCCCACGTTGTCTGCGCTCTTCTTTGTGGTGGGAAGATTGCTTTCTGCCAGTCATAGCTTTCAGTCCTATCTCCACACAGTTCCTCAAGCTCTTGATCCAAACAAGGTTGGTTGGTCTTTTTTTTTTTTTTTTTTTTTTTTAATCCAAGACTGGTCTAGAAGCAGTGGTGTGAGTACAGTCTGTCTCCCAGATTTTGTAAGCCACCCAAGTCCCTTTTTAAATATAATTATTAGTTGCAGTTTGTATTTTGTAAATATTTTCTTTGCAGTGATTTATGGCTCTTAACCTCCTCATTATGATTCACCACATTTTGGACCGTCTGCTTCCTGGGGGAGAGGATAGGGTGTTGTTTTTTGCTTTTCTATAACTTGGACCTGTAGCAGTTCCAGTTCTAGAAGCAAGTGGGAGACAGAAACAGAATGTGCTGGGTATTAATAGTCTCTGTGCTGGCCTGCCGCATTGGTGTTTGTCTGTCTTGTTGGGGAGGTAGCCCTCTGTCTGGCCGCACAGATGGAGATCTGCTTGGAGCTCAGGTGGTGCTGGAGCCCCTGCCTCCCTCCTGCTGAGGAGAAATCTTCAGCAGTTACTTGTTCACCAGCTGCTTTAGGACAGAAGAGTCTAGTCGAGAGGTGGGAAGATGGTTGTAGAGCTGCCCCTAAACTTTTCAGAACACCCTCATTTTGCCAGGTGCCCTTCTCCCCTTTTGCATGCATACGTGCACATGTATACATCCATGCTTCTCTTTGCACCTGCCTTTTCTTGCTTAGGGTCTCCTTACTGCTGGCAGGTGTAAGGGAGTAGCTGGCACGGGGGCACAGGCAGCAAGTAGTTAAAAGTAAAGCACATATTGCATGTGTCCTGAGCTCTGATGGCATTTCTCAGTGACCTTGAGCAGAGCTCAGAGCTTGCGTGTGCAGGCATGAATGACATTATCACCTGCATATGTTACGCAGACTATGCTGAGGAGGTAAAGTGGATCCAATACTGTTTCTAAATGTAGCATCTTTGCCGCAGCATGTCTCTGTATTGCCTGATGAGAGGCATTGAGAGCTAGGGAACATGCATTAGCTCCCTTCCGAGCTGAATCGCTGTCTGTAGCGGAGGGAGAGGGCAGGTTCTTTGCTGTGAAGTGTTGACGTGAGGCCAGAAGGAAGGAGCTGAAACTCAGTGTGGGGGAAGGAGTCAGGGTGGGGAGTGGGCACTCGGTGAAATGCAGGCTTTTATCATCTGGCTTGGTCAGGGTAGTGCTGTTGCCAGTCTCCATTATGTGCCGCCTGAGAACAGGCTCCAGGCCCTTCCTTTCATCTCCTTCCTAATGAATTAAGACAAGGGGTAACTATAAAAGGCAGGGGGGGGAAGGCAAGATCTGAGGAGACTTTCTTTCATTTATGTTGTAGCTGAATGTGTGGCAGTAGACAAATGTATTGAGCTAATGTTATAGTGGCTGAAAGTTCAAATCTTACCTTAGGGCCATGGACGATACAAATGAGGGAGCTTTACAGCATCCAGAGAGAGAAGGTATTTAATGTTAAACTACTGCTGAAAAATCAGGATATGTGAAAGCCTGAAAAGCATTTGTGGACTCTTAGTGTAGTCAAAAGGTAAGAGTGGACCGAGCCCCCCTGTTCCTTCTGTTGTTTCTCCTCTGTGAAGCCTTTGTCCTACTGTACACATCTCACGTGCTGCAAAATGACTCCTGTGTGGTGGCAGCACTCTGCCATATGCAGGAACAGCTGTGAGTGTTTTTGAGCAGGCCACTGTACATGATACATTGCACCCTTGGTAAGAAAGGAGTTCTGCCCTCTGCCTGTGAACAAATGGATGGGAGAGGAGTGCAAACAACCTCCTGGCTTTCTCCCTTGTAGAAGTGGCAGATCCAGTCCTGTGCAACCTAAATTTGAATTTAAAGACTAAAACATTTTTGTCATCACTGTTCAGAATCTGTGCCTTTCCTCATTCACACTGCAGAAGACGCACTAGTGTGTTTGTTTGAGGATGCACCTGTGTGCGTGGGTGTTTGCCCACTTGCCAATTCCACGCAAAGCCTTAGAAAACATGGGATTTGGCAAGCTGCACTAGCAGGGCTCCAAAATGGATTGTAGAGTTCCCTTTTAGCAGGAGTGTTGATGATTTTGGGGAGTTATTTTGGAGCACTCACTTGCAGGTGTTGTGTATGGTGGTGATGGATAGGCTACTCCTGTGTTTTTGTCCTTCTTGGACAGATTTGCCCTGAGGAGCAAAGGACTCTGATGGAGTCATAAACATAAAACCACCAAATAGCATGGTTTGATTTAATCGCAAGCTGGCTGCATTGATTCTTCCCCTAGGGTGCACTCTCTGTATGTTTGGAGATGCATTTTGTCATAGGTGTGATGGTGGGAGAAGAGGGGGAACTTGGAGAGAGGGAGGCAGCTTTTTAGATATGATCAAATGGAAGTTTCTGAGGTTGTTCTCGAAAATTTGATGTTTGGGGGCTGGATGAGTCTTAGCCAAATAAAAACGCTTCATCCTGCTAGGCTTCTTCTGAGACTTGCACGGCTGTGGGAAGTAGAGATACTCACAGGGCAGTATCTTTGTTCTTCCTATCACAGCTTCATTTATATTAACCAGATCAAACATGTTTTGTGCTGCCTGCACAGCTGTACTAAAATAAAATGGAAAGCTGCCACTGCTTTGCTCAGCGTGACAAGACCCCAGTGCTTACTGTTTGCTTGCTCTTGTCCGTGCTTCATAACCAATATGCAAGTCCAAGGTCACGTCTGCAAGAGATGTTTCTGGCCAGAAGAAGCTCTCTTAATGTTGCTGGTTTAGTTTATCTGTGGAGAGATGTTTCTTTCCAAATATTCATGAAGTGTTGTATATTGAATGATGTGCAGAGCAGTCTAGCAAGTCCAGTCAGTGGTTGGGGAGTCAGTGTGGGCAACTCCCCTGAGACTTCTTTCCTCTTTGGTACATAAATTGTGTATTTAAAGCAGGGAGGGGGAAAAAAAAGGCCCCCAGACAGGAAAAAAAGAAACCCAACACCCAACCCTACTCTTATATCTTTATTTTTAAGGTATGCCTGTGTTTTTGAAGGTGCCTAAAAAAGGGCTGACTCTAGCAATTACACGGTCCTTGCCTTCTTGTAGAACTTCTTTTTACTTGATGGGTTAAGGAAGAAGTCAGGTTGGCATCTAAAGAAAGGAAATGACACTTAAAAGTGCATCACACAGGTGGTCAAAGCATGACTCCTAGGAGGCTGAGGTAAGCAGCAGGAGATTGAATGAGTGGGTGGGTGCTCTTTGAATACCTTGGCCTGTTAATGCATGCTCTTGGAAAGGGACAGAGCAATAAAACCAACCAAATTGTAGTCTACTTTGTTCTGTAGCTCTGAGGTTTTGAGGTCATTTTTCTGACTAAAGTGCAAAAAATACCATTTTCTCATCAAACCATTTTGCAAAGGGGCCTTGCCTTTATATTGAGTGCTGTGCTCAAATTTTACCACTCCTTAGTCTGAGCCCAACACAGGTGGCTGAGGTTCTTTTCCTTTCTTCTCCCCTGCCAGTCATCTCTGTGGGGGCATTAGGTCTCTCCTCTGGCACACTGCGCTCCCTTCTTCCTCTGCCTTCCTGCTGTATTTTTTCTGTGCACAAGTACCCCTGGCCCACCCCTTGACCTGGCTTTGCTGTACCAGTCAGTCCGTGGGAATGCTGGAATAAATTCCCTTGTTTTAGCTGTGGAACTGGTAGCAGAAAGTAGCACTTGGAGTTTTTATAAATCCTGCAGTGGTAATAACTGTTTCCTGTCCCTGGGCTGACTTTTAAATGTACGAGAAAAGTTAATCAAAGACATCCGTAAGCTGTTCATATATGGATTTTACCATTTAATTATAGATCTTCTTTTGGGGTAATGTTTCTCTGAAGGGAGCTTGACAGAACAGATGCCGTTTTGCCTGGGGATGCATTTCTGGTATTGGCCCAGTGAAGAGCTGCCTCTTCAGCTGTGGGATTTTGATGATTGCATGAACATCCTGCCACATGAGATTAGAGTGGCGGTACTACCTCCCAGCTTCAGGATATGAAAGATCCGCCTCTTCATTAGAGCTTTCATATGGTGGCAGCTGAAGTGAGGAAGAACAGGCAAAAAGAGAAGCAATTTAAGAAAACCAAAGGCAAATCTGCTAAGCTAAAAGGTGGTATGAGGGGAGGGAGGCTGAGATCTCATTACTGCTTACTCATGGAAAGGGAGGGGAGGAACAACAGATCAATTGTTAAGTGTTACTGGCTTTATCAAAATAATTGTTAAGTGCTAGATACCGCAATTGCAAGTGTAGTACTAATACCTAAAACAAGATAGACAAAGCACATAAAAGGAATTAGTGTGGTTTCTATTCATGCACATACTTTTGTCTTTCTGATTTCAGCAGACAGAAGGAGGGGCACAGACAGATGGACAGCAATCACAGACACAGAGCAGTGAGAATACCGAGAGCAAATCCACTCCAAAACGACTTCATGTGTCTAACATTCCCTTCCGCTTTCGAGATCCTGACCTTCGGCAGATGTTTGGGGTAAGTTACCAGCGCCTTTTAAGGCATGGCAGATTCTCCTTCCCCACAGGTGAGATATGTGGTGCTGGTATATTCATGTGAATGAAGAGTCCTTCCCCCTCAATTTAGTCAGCACACTGCGAAATATTTTCAGGACTATGACAATTGGTAGCATTTACCTCAGCTGGTAAATACACATGAAAACTATAACTGTGTTGTTCATATCAAGATGTGCAGTGTAACCTGACAATTGGTTTGGAAAAAATAACAAGACGAAACTTCACCTTATTTCCCAGTAAAGACTAGGATTAAACATTGACTTAATATATCCCTTGCAAAGCACTGTTTTTTCAGTTGCTTAGAAACTTGTTGAAATATTTATGTCTTTCCTCATGATCCACTTCTGTGATGAAAAATTGCTGCAAGGAATTGGCCAACTAGCAATTGCATGTGGAAAAGCTAGTGCAAGTCAGATGGTATTTTACATTGTGCATGATACACATTCTGTTTCTTTTGACCAAATAGTTTGTCTTCCCTAATCTTCGTATGCTATTCATCATTCTCAATTTATAAGCTCTTTGAGGAAGAGTTTGTTCACATGAGTATAGGTGGTGACTCATTCCATGTGAACACAGAGATAAATGAGCTAGATGCTTCATGACCTAACCTTCAAGTGAAGTTATCTATATATCATAATCATCATCATCGGGAATATTTGACATGTTGATATGATGGTAGATGGCATGTTTAAAGTCTTCAGAAATATTTCTTGTTATTTATAAAGTTGACAGTTGCTGCCTGTTTAAGATGCAGTGCAGAGGACTCAAGTCAGGAAAGACCAAAGCTAAGGTTCCTCCTACCACCTTAGGCTTTGAGTGTATACCTTGGTCCTAACTGCATAGCCAGCTGCTCCTCCAAATTCTGCAGTATTCCTGTTTCAGCTGTTGCATCTCTTGAGCCATCTGTGTAGGTGTGTATGCATGCACGTACACACACACTCTCGCACATGGAGAGTAGTGTTACAGTATTGTAAATGTTTCAAATTCATGGACTTCAAACTTAGACTGCTATAAATGAGAGAAGAATTGGGCTTATCTGTTCATAGCTTGGACATTACAAAGTGAACAAAATGTGCAGAAATGTTAAAAATTTCACTGATGGTCCTCAGCAAGAGTCCCAGTTGCTATATATTGTGAGAGATCTTTGCTCCTTGTTCTTGAAGCTTTTTCTGTCCGTATTTTGTGGATGAGACCATATGGAGAGGAGTGGTCAAAATGCAGGAGGGCAAGGCTGGAGAAATGGGCTGACAGGAATCTTAAGACACTCAACAAGAGTGAGTTTCAAGCCTTCCATCTGGGAGGGAATAACCCCTGCAGCAGTACAGGCTGGGAGCTGGTTGTCTGGGAAGATGCTCTGCAGTAAACGATTTGGGGGCCCTGACGGACAACAAATCGAACATGAGCAGCAGCGTGCCCTTGCAGCAAAGGCAGCCGACCGCACTCTGGGCTCTGTTAGTGAGTAGCCGGCAGGCCCAGGGATGTGATCCTCCCCCTGTCTTCAGCAGTTGTCAGACTGCACCTGGAATACTGTGTCCAGTTTGGGCTCTCCGGGGCAAGAAGTGCACTTCATCTAAGTGAAACACTGGACAAGCCCAGTGGGTACCACTAAGATGGTCAGGGGGCTGGAGAACATGGCATGTGAGCAGAGTCTGAGACCTGGGCCTGTTCAGCTTTGAGAACAGAAGGCAGAGGGGTGCTATTTTTGTTGTCTGCAACTGCCTGATCAGCGGATACAGAAAAAATGTAGCCAGGTTCTTTTTAGTTGTGTGTAATGATGAGATGAGAGACAACAAACACAAGTTGGAACGTGGGAAATTTCCATTAGAAATTGGGAAATTTTTTTCTTTTACTGTGAGGGTGGTTAAATAGTGGAACACGTTGCCCAGAGAGGTTGTGGAACCTCCACCCTTGAAAAGGTATTTGACCTGACTGGACGCAGCCTGGCCATCCCGATCTCATTAGACCTGTTCTGAGCAGGGGTTGCATTAATTGACCTCTGGAGGTAGGTTCCAGCCAAAATTATGTTTCTGTGATTCTTTTGCAAGAGGCCTGGGTTTGCATCCATGTTGTTCATACATTAGATTGTCACACTCTTGACATCTGTGGGAATGTTTTCAGGGTGAAACTCATCTCCTGGCAATCTGTGATTGCTGAATCTTCTCAGTTGCCTGTTCTGCTTTTGTGGTTTTTAGCTTGCTTTTTGCTGTTGCAGGGCTGTGCGGTAGGCAGTTCCGTCCGGTTTGGATAAACCGGTTGCTGAAGTCACAGCCAGTTCTTGGACCACCTGCTACAATCTGTATTTAGCACGTCCTGCTCTGTGGTACTGCTGCTCCCCTCTCCTGGGAGCTGCATCACTTACATAAAGTGTTCCACGTTGCTGCTGCCCCTTCCCTTGAGACCAGTGCTTGGCTTGATGACTGGCCCCTTTCACGCTCGTTCACCTTGATGCTGTTCCTCCCTGTGCTCCTGGTGTGGGGCATATGGATGAAATGGAAATGACAAGAACATCCCTGTCCTGGTGACTCTTATCTCTTCTTTGCAGGTGAGGACACCCAGGCAATGTGAATGAACTGCTGTCCTGAGAAATGACTTGCAGAAAATTAAGCCTAACTGCTTGCATTAAGGTTTCTCATCCTTTTTTGGACCCAAATGGTTGTACCTAGAAGGGGTGGGGAAATATACTATATGAGTTGGTTTCTGTTGTTCCCCAAGTTACTTGTTGCTGGTTTATTTTTTTTCTCTAAACATCATCTTGAGTTACAGCACAGTGATGTGATTTTTAACTGGGGTAAGTGGTATATTCCCTATAAAACCTTTTGTTAGTTCACCTGGCCCTTTTTCTCTCACTGCTGCTTCTCTCGGCATGTTCAAGCAGGAGAGCATTTCTCTCTGAATCCTCCTCGCCCCTATTTCTTTTTCAGGATCGGGATGCTTTCCCTTGGGTGGCTCACTGAAACCTACCCTTTTTCCTGCAGGGGACTCATGGTTGTCTGAGTCTTCAGTTGTGGCTAGCTTGTAACCCCCATCTTCTCCCTCTCCCTTCTGTGTGTCAGGTCACATCTCCTCAACGTCATATCTGAGAGACTCAAAATCCTTGCCTGGAGTGATTTTCCCAAGCTACTGTACAAAGAGAGGAATGGGTTAGACAGCAAAGCCGTGGAGGAAGAAATAAATGTGATGGTAGGGAGGGAGTAAAGAAGTCCCCTGAGGATGGAACAGCATGCGAGAGGTCAGCCCAGTCCTGGGGCGCAGAACATTAGCTAATGCTTTCGTCCAGACTTGAGTAGAGGTGGACTTCAGATGTGTTGTCCCATGTGTGATTAAATGAAAATTACATAACGCTTTCTAAACCTTCACCATTTGTGAGAGCTGCAGACATAAGGATTTCCTGACAAATTCAAGTTATTCAGGTTTCAAACCATCTCTCACCTATTGCGTGTTTCTAACAGGTCCCTGCAATATTCTCTGGAATGGAACAAACATTTCCTTATGTATATGCTTCTTATAGGGAGGCAAATAAAATAGTCTACTTGAAAAAGATAATATTTACTTGACATTTCATGATGCCAATAAAAAGACTTCTAGAAAGCTTCTAGAAGGAATAGGTCATTTTTTAATGCACACAGTTCTGCACCCACTGTGGAATAAATCAATAGTTGACCTTGTTCTAGCAGATAAAGAAGAGTTAATAGCTGACCTGAAATCCCACGGTTGCCTAGGTACCAGTGATTGTTATTTGTCTGTATTTACTTTGTGCAAACAGAATATGGCATGAAGCAGTAATGTAAGGAGCTTTAGAAGAGTCTGTTTCTTCGAGTTTAAACAATTGGCAGGATAACTGCCCAGGAAGGTACATTTAAAAGGGAAATGTTAATGGAAGCTATAAAGTGTTCAACGAAATCATACTGATGGCCAAAAAGACATGATTCCACAGTCACTGAAACTGTGTTAATAAACCACAAAGCATTCTGCACATTAGGCAGAGAGAATGAAGAGGAGGAGGAAGTAAATGGCAGCAAATATAATAGCAAACTTAAACAAAGAAGCAGGTGAGAAAGGGAATGTGCTAATCATGGAGATAGCAGTGATGTAGGTTCAGAGAAGGTGTCAAAATTTGACATGCAAAGAGAAAAGATCCAGGTGTAGGTCCAGTATAAAATTAGGAAATAGTTGTGTGTCTCTGGGGAAAAAACAGCAAAACAAAACCAAAACCCCAAACAAAAACGTCAGAAAAACCCAGCTTGCTGTGGTTATGATGTAACAGGAGGTATTTGCATCGTACCTGGTTTTGAATATAATTTATAACAAAGGAGGATGAGACAGTGCTCGCTAATATTTAAAAGCCAGCGAATTTAGATAAGGTATGTCCAAAGATAATAGCCAAAGCAAGGAGCTCTTTTATTCATTAATGTTAATTTTTAGCCAATTCTTGTAAGCTTAGGGGAGTTGCAGAAGGCTGGAACACTCCCCACCAGGATTCACTGTTGAAAAAATTGAAAGGGATGATGCAAAGACCTACGAACTGATTATCCATATGTTGATCCATAGATAAAGGTACAAAGAATTTGGGAATGTTTTAGAAAAACATTAGAATCTGGAGAAATGCTTTAATATCTGTTCAGTGTGACTTTGTCTAAGGCAATACACATCTTTTCAGATAAATACTGTCTTGTCTATTTTGACAAGATTGTACAAAGCAATACTGATATAGCTGAACATTGCTCAACCAATTGAATTCATCCAAGTGACCAATTCTGATTTTTAAGAAAAAGAATACTTATCTCAAATAAACACAACACACATTAGAGGGATTAAAAACTTCTTTAAGGATAGATAATAAAAAATAGTAGTTATTGGGGAGACATCGTGATCAAGACTGTTTCTCGTGTCAGTTTCCCCAGGGATCCATTTCAGTCACAGTCCTGTTCAGTATCTGTATCAATCCATGGAGACAGTACTTAA